GTGTTCATTGGTGGACCAACCTTCGTGTGTTATGGTGGACCAACCATCGTGTTTTTTTTTTGTTATGGTGGACCAACCACGTGTGTTATGGTGGACCCAACCATCGTGTGTTATGGTGGGACCAACCCATCGTGTGTTTGGCTGGACCAAACCATCGTGTGTTATGGTGGACAAAACCATCGGGTGTATTTTGGTGGGACCAACCAATCGTGTGTTGATGGGTGGAACCAACCTCGTGTGCTTTGGTGGACCAATCATCGTGAGTATGGTGGCCCAACCATCGTGTGTTATGGTGGACCAACCATCGTGTGTTATGGTGGACCAACCATCGTGTGTTATGGTGGACCAACCATCGTGTGTTATGGTGGGGGACAACCAATCGTGTGTTATGGTGGACCAAACCATCGTGTGTTATGATGGAACCAACCTCGGTGTTATGGTGGACCATCACCTTGTGTGATATGGTGTCTATTCATCGTGTGTTATGGTGGACAAACCATCGTGTGTTATGGTTGGACCAAAAATTCGTGTGTGATGGTGGACAACCATAGCTGTGTTATGGTGGACAACCATCGTGTGTTATGGTGGACCAACCATCGTGTGTTATGATGGACCAACCATCGTGTGTTATGGTGGACCAACCATCGTGTGTTATGGTGGACCAACCATCGTGTGTTATGGTGGACCAATCCATTCGTGTGTTATGTGTGGACCAAAACCATCGTGTGTTATGGTGGAACCAAACCATCGTGTGTTATGGTGGACCAACCATCGTGTTATGGTGGACCAACCATCGTGTGTTATGGTGGACCAACCATCGTGTGTTATGGTGGACCAACCTGCGGTGTTATTGTGGACCAAACCATCGTGTGTTAGGATGGACAACCATCGTGTGTTATGAAGGACCAAACCAGCGTGTGTTTAATGGTGGACAACATCGTGTGTTTATGGTGGACAACCCTGTGTGTTATGGTGGACCAACCATCGTGTGTTATGGTGGACCAACCAATCGTGTGTTATGGTGGACCCAACCCATCGTGTGTTTATGGTGGGACCATCCATGTGTGTTTATGGGTGGACCACCCATCGTGTGTTATGGTGGGACCAACATCGTCGTGTTATGGGTACCAACCATCGTGTGTAATGGTGGGACCATCCACGCACGGTGTTATGTGGGACCAAACACATCGTGTGTATGGTGGACCAACCCATCGTGTGCTATGGTGGGACCAATCTTCGTGTGTTATGTGGACCATCCATCGTGTGTTCTGGTGGACCAACAACATCGTGTGTTATGGTGGACCCAACCATCGTGTTATGGTGGACCAAACCATCGTGTGTTTAGGGTGGACCATACCATGTGTGTTATGGTGGACCAACCATCGTGGTTATGGTGGGACCAACCATCGTTGTGTTATGATGGACCAAAACCATCGTGTGTTTTGGTGGGACAACCATCGTGTGTTATGGTGGACCAATCTATCGTGGTGTTATGGTGGACAAAAACCATCTTGTGTTCTGGTGGACCAAACCATCGGTGTTATGGTGGACCAAACATGTGTGTGTATGGTGGACCAACCCATCGTGTGTTATGGTGGACCAATCACTCGTGTGTTATGATGGCCAACCCATCGTTGTTGTTTGTGGGACCAACATCGTGTGTCTATGGTGGGACCAAACCATCGTGTGTTATGGTGGACTAACCCATCGTGTGTTATGGTGGACCAACCATCGTGTGTTATGGTGGACCAACCATCGTGTTATGGTGGACCAACCATCGTGTGTTATGGTGGACCAACCATCGTGTGTTATGGTGGACCAACCATCGTGTGTTATGGTGGACCAACCATCGTGTGTTATGGTGGACCAACCATCGTGTGTTATGGTGGACCAATCATCGTGGTTATGATGGACCAATCATCGTGTGTTAAGGTGGACTAACCATCGTGTGTTATGATGAACCAACCTACGTGTTACAGTGAACCTACGTGTTATAGTGAACCAACCTACGTGTTACCGTGAACCAACCTACGTGTTATAGTGAACCAACTACGTGGTACAGTGAACCTAAACCTACGTGTGATAGTGAACGAAAACTACGTGTTACCGTGAAACCAACCTACGTGTTTTAGTGAAAACAATCCTAACGTGTTATAGTGACCAACCTACGTGTTATAGTGAAAAAAAAAAAAAAAAAAAAAACCAACCTACGGTTACAGTGAAACCAACCTATCGTGTTACAGTGGAACCAACTATGTGTTACAGTGAAACCAACTACGTTGAAAAAATGGTATAAATACCACCAATGGCAAATATAAAACACATATGCAGTATATGTGATCCTTTATTGACTTCGTTTCGCCCACACTCAGTGGGCTTTTTCAAGTCACAAACGAACTGTTTGTGACTTGAAAAAGGCCACTGTGTGGGCGAACCGTAGTCAATTAAAGGATCACAGTTATAATGCACTATGTGTATTATTTCCACCCAACCTACGTGTTACTAGTGAAACAACCTACTTGTTATGGTGAACCAACCTACGTGCTTACAGGATTGAACCTAACCTTTAGTGTTATAGTGAAACCAACCCACGTGCTACAGTGATCCAAACCTACGTGTTAGTGAACCAAACCTAGTGATTACCGTGAGCCAACCTACGTGTTCCGTGAACCAACCTACGTGTTTACCGTGAACCAACCTACGTTTTACCGGAACCAACCTTACGTGTTACCGCTGAGGACAACCTACGTGTTTTGGTGAAACCAAACATACGAGCTACAGTGAACCATCCCTACGTGTTATAGTGAACCAACACACGTGTACAGTGAACCAACTTGTGTTATAGTGAACCACCACGTACTACAGTGGAAACCACATAACGTGTTATATGTGATCCAAACTTCGGCTACAGTGAACCAACCTACGTGCTACAGTGAACCAACCTACGTGTTATAGTGAACCAACCTACGTGCTACAGTGAACCAACCTACGTGTTATAGTGAACCAACCTACGTGTTATAGTGAACCAACCTACGTGTTACAGTGAACCAACCTACGTGTGTTAAGATCAAATGTTGCCTCAATGAACAATGAAAGGCTGTTGGGTTGCACTGGAGGGCACTGTTGCAACAACACAGGTGTACCTGTGCACACAGCTACCTCTCTTCACTGCAAGACAGAGGATATATTCACAGCAAGACACCAGATATATTCATAGCAATATAAGATAAGTTAATGTTAATATGGAGGATATACATATATGGCAATACCAGGGATATGCTCACTGTAAGATAGGGAATATATCTATGGTAAGATGGCGAGATGGAGGTATATAATGATGTTAAGATTAGGAATTATGGTATGATTCTTTTTATTAACACATCGGCCGTCTCCCACCGAGGTAGGGCGGCCCGAAAAAGAAAAACTTTCACCATCATTCACTCCATCACTGTCTTGCCAGAGGCATGCCTACACTACAGTTATAAAACTGCAACATTAACACCCCTCCTTCAGAGTGTATTATTATATTCATGGGGGAGCGCTAAACCCGTAGGGATCATACAGCGCCTGTGGGGGGAGGAGATGGAAGGTATTCAAGCTCAATTCAGGGAACTGGAGCACAGATCCAATTCCCTAGATCAAGAGCCCCTCACCAGCACCAAGGAACCTTGGGGGGGGAGGGGAATTATGGTAGTAGGATAGAGGATAATCATGGTAATATAGGAGACTTACTGAGCAGTGGTTTATTTGTCAGGAAACATTGCCTCGAGACACTGGATTTTATGACGATGACTGGTTAAGCATCAGCTAAATTAAACATATAGTAACAAAAGAGATACCACCTGGTCGTGGATCTTACGATACCCTGACTGTTATCGTAAAGATAAGTTCTCAACAAGCGCTTGCTTATGCTAAGGTAGGAGAGCGCAAACATGCAATGATACTACACATATGTGCAGGTGTGGACACTAAGTACGCACGACAAGCCTCGTATTTGGACAGTTTCGTTCTAAGTTGAGCTTTGTAAGATCGAAGCTCAGCGCAGATCTTAACGTTGTTCAACAAAGACCTACTCTTTATGAATATGATAATGGTATACAGTACCGAAGATTAATAGGTAAGACACATGTGTAATAGTTGGGTATCTTTAAGTGTAGGCGAAACGTTTCGAAATAAAGACACCCAATTGTTGTACATGGGTCTTCACTTACCTGCTCTTCGTACTCTGAGTTTTTGTCCACAAATGGCTGTGCTAGGCACCCCCACCCACACATCTGCACCACTACAGGTGTAACCAGCTGGAAAGGATATATGAGCGTATGTGTGGACAAAGATTACAATGACACAGGATACATGGACCGGCGGAGATGGGGTATCCAGACGTCAGAAAAATAAAACTCCCAGAAATATTGATTTCGAGTCAGGTCCTCTGGGTCACTGACCTCAAATGTAATTGGGAGTCTTTCCTATTTTTATTTTTTTAAGACATGGTGAAAAATGAGCGAGAACAGCCCTTCACTAGCACCAAGATACATACCTAGAAAAGAACTGGTAGACTGGCTCCGATTTCTCGAATCACGAGCTTTTTTACAGGCATCAAGGCGCCCTCCAGATTTTTTTCCCAATTCATTGCAGTGATGTGTGCCACCATATAAGAAAAGCTTTGGAAAGACGATTATTTTGCATTTTTTAATGTTACTAAATAAATTGCGGCTTGTAAATCACTATAAAATGCAGAATCGGAATGTGCAGTGTGTTAATGTGGCGCAAACTATCTTAATATCAATAATTATCTACAGATATTACTACCTCTACTGCTTATTTTCGGGTAAATGTTGTCCATCTTAGTTACAAGGCGCATATTTTGTTCCTGCATGTATGCACTGTAGTAGTATTTATTGTCTTTCGATCCAAGCAAGAGAGAATATGTCCGGTTATTAGATCAAGAACACCTCTAAGGTGTGGTAAATTTTTATGACTGCCTACCAGTAGTTACTTACCCGAGGTAAAAAATGCTGGTTACATCGGTGAATGTAATGTTGGCAGAGTTAGTCTCATGAGCGATGTTCAACCGTTTCTTCAACAATCTTTCTTGACCAGAATGCTATCAATAGTCTCTACTATCTTCTGTTTGGACAACCCACAGCACAGCAGATATCAGTCATCTGAAAATTCTTCAATGTTTTGATTTTTTTTTTTTTGGCGGGACTCGCGAGAGGTAAACAATATGACTGACACACACACACGCCTGACCACTAATGTGAAGGATGCTGCTCCTGAGAGGTCCCACCACACACTAGCTCTGGTGGGGCAGGGGTTGCCTAAACGCTGAGCTGGTTATCTGGCGAAGACCTGCATCACCAGATAGTTTCCTGTTTACTGACTGACAACACACCACTAGCTCTCCAAATTGGTTTTCAACGGGTGATTCTCTGCACAAAATTGTTGCATGGATATGGGAAATCCTCCCGTCAAGTTATAACATTGTAATAAAGTTGGTAGAATTACCGACAATATGTAAAGTAAAAGGACACAAGTGCAACTAATGTGACATTTATTGTGGCAACGTTTCGCTCTCCAGGAGCTTTATCAAGCCATTACAAACAATACATGGACACAGAGGGTATATAAAGGCTCAGAGTGAGGTGTAATACTAGTGAGGTAACATTTCGATGTTCACTAGTGGTAGTAGTAGTAGTAGTAGTAGTGGTAGTGACAAAAGTAATACAAAATGGTAGAGCAATTAATTCGTACATGAGTAAAAGGATATAAAAGCTATTACTTGGGTAACATAAAATATGGTTGGACAAATATAGACTGGAATGAGGCAGCTTGTTTCAGTGTTCACTCTCTGTGCTTTGTGTAGTATAACAGGAGAGACTATGTGATGGCAGGGTTTACTGTTTTCAGGAGGATTCTTGCTAAGACTTCGGAGATGGTGAAGCTGCCGTTGTTTTGTTTAATTGTATTCGAAACAGCGATCAGTGCTGATTCGAGGCACTTGTGTCTGCGGAAATTAGTTTCTTTGATCACTAATTGGGCGTCTCTGAATTTCATGAGATGATTGGTGGAATTTCGGTGTTGTACACAGGCGTTGTTCAAGTTACCGTTCCTACATGCGTAAATGTGTTCATTGAGGCGGGTGTCGAGGTTTCTGGCTGTTTCACCTACGTAAATCTTGTCACAGCCTCCACAGGGTATAGTGTAAACTCCTGCATTGACTGGTTCGTGGTGCTTGGATTTTGTCCTGGTTATATCCTTTATTGAAGTGCTAGAAGCGATGGCGACTCTGGTGTTAGCTTGTGAAAGTACTTTTGAGACGTTCAGTGCAATTATAACATTGTAAATCAAGGAAATCTTCGGAAATAAATTCATGGTATCTTCCCAGACAATAGACTGAAGGACTTTCCATCCCAATTTTCATACAATATATCGGGTGCTTGGAGAAATCACTTTTTTAAAAGACATTATCCATAAGAGGATAGTATTCGCCCACACTGATTATGGTTTTAACAAGGTACAGACTCTCTGGCAAGAAACAAGGCCAATATGGTTTATGCATAACTGACCAAACAGCTGTTTGTGGTAAACGATAATTGATACATATGCTTGCACAAGTGTCTTTTTAAACCAGCCTCTGTGGTTACAAATAAATGTAATCATTACTTGTATACCAAACTCCTCCCGTCTACCCTCTCCTTACTCCCTTAATTCATGCATTCATTCATTGACTCATTCTCAAGCAACTACCGCATATATATCATACATCATACAAGCACTTAAGACAAGCAGTGCAAGCAGCAGCACATCATCGTGCAGCAAGCACTCACCACACAAAAATAAACTTGCCAAGCACTTCTTGGCAGCCACATTTAAACTGCTTGGAGCACCTCTCATTTTGTTTACATGGCGTGTTGGATGTGAGCATCTCGCTCACTGAATAAAACACCCAATGATATGTTTGTTAATACACCAGACAAGCAACTCATACTTCTGAGAGAATGTTGGTTGTATGGCATAACTAAATACCACTAAAAATGCAACGTTACTTATATACAACAATGTTGGTTTTCTCTGCAGGCGAGTTAGAAAGCTTCTCCTTAATGCTAATCACTAACCACTCGACCGTGAAGGCTAAAATAAGATTGGTAACTATCCTAGGTAATAAGGGACCCAGCTGCTGTGTGAATTATAAGTTCTTTAAAATTGACACTCACCACTAACAGTGTGATCAAATGCAGCTCTTGTTCCTCTAAGGCTAAGCCATTGTTTCTTAACCTGGGGTGCACGCACCCCTCACGGGAGAGAGATGTCATTACTGGGGTACGAGAAGAGGTGAGAATAATGTCAGCTAGTTAAATTACAGTACCTGAAATGTGACAGTGCCTAAAAACAATTTTAACATACAGCAGAAAAGTGCCTCATACAGCAGAAAAGTGCCTCAGGACAACTTCGCCACGAGGTTCTCGCCCAAGAAAGCAATAAATTATGTAAGCACTTTAGACAGAACTGGCAACCTGGCAATTGGAAATACTCAACTATACTGACTGAGCTTCTCTGAGAAGTCGCCGTTTTGCAATTACATGGCAGTCAATGTAGTTCTCAGTATTGCTCACACAATTTAAGCAGAACAAGGTTCCCTTCCCACCACTGCCAGACATTAAGCCACAGCCAAGTTGTGTAATGTCATTATTGGTGACTTGGAAGTCAGCTCAGGGAAGTAACTACTACCACAAACACCGCACTCTCCACTTAGTCCCAAATATACGTCAATACTGGTTATGGCAACCTCAACTTCAATAACCGTTTTTAATCTTGGTTTAGAAAGTGCAGAAATTTCCGCACTGTAATGCGTGCGAAAACCAACTTACTATTTGCAGGACGAGTTGAGGCAAGGCGCATCAAACTACGGGTGCAGCGCAAATAGTTTTACTGGGATGCCAGACACCTATCACCCCAGACATTGGCAGTGCTCCACATCAACTTGCTAGTCCATTAACTAAACACCTTCCACAACCCACCTGAAACACACCGGAGATCAACAGAATCAAGGATACATGGATAAGCAATAAGTTACTGAAATTTCGACGTGACGTAATAGTCAGTTTGGACGTGATGTCCTTGTTAACCAAGGTGCCCGCCGCCCAAGCCATTAATCTCCGCGTGAAAATTCACGATCCACTCAATTAACCACGCCTGCATAAGATTTCGTTGACGAAAAAAGTTGAATGGTGTGTCAATTTCAACTTTTTTTTTTCGTTTTAAGACTCCATATATAAGTACCTTTTCGGTGGAGCCTTCCATCAGGTTCACTACTGAAGAAAATACTTGAGAGATTCCCTTCCCCACGTTTGTTGAGTCGAAAAGATGGAGAAACAAGAATTATCTTGTAATGTTGGTAGAATTACCCACAATATATTAGGTAAAAGGACACAAGTGCAACTAATGCGACATTTTATCGTGGCAACGTTTCGCTCTCCAGGCTTGATAAAGTTCCTGGAGAGCGATACGTTGTCATAATAAGATGTCGCATTAGATGCACTTGTGTCCTTTTATCTAACAAAAAATTATCTAGGTTATTATACACATCACGACGATAGAATCAAGCATGGTATGTGTGTAGTGTGTGTGTAGTGTGTGTGTAGTGTGTGTGTGTGTGTGTGTGTGTTTTGTGTGTGTGTGTGTGTGTGTGTGTGTGTGTGTGTGTGTGTGTGTGTAGTGTGTGTGTAGTGTTTTGTGTGTGTGTGTGTGTGTGTGTGTGTGTGTGTGTGTGTGTGTGTGTGTGTGTGTGTGTGTGTGTGTGTGTGTGTGTGTGTGTGGTTAGTGTGTGTGAAGTGTGTGTGAAGTGTGTGTGTAGTGTGTGAGTGTGTGTAAGTGTGTGTGTAGTGTGTGTGAAGTGTGTAAGTGGTGTAGTGTGTGTGTAGTGTGTGTGAAGTGTGTGTAGTGTGTGTGTGTGTGAGTGTGTGTGAAGTGTGTGTGTAGTGTGTGTGTAGTGTGTGTGTAGTGTGTAAGTGTGTGTGAATGTGTGTGTAGTGTGGTGTAGTGTGTGAAGTGTGTGTGTAGTGTGTGTGAGTGTGTGTGAAGTGTGTGTGTAGTGTTGTAAGTGTGTGTGTAGTGTGTGAAGGTGGTGTGTGTGTGTGTAGTGTGTGTAGTGTGTGTGAACTGTGTGTTGTAGTGTGTGTAAGTGTGTGTGTATAGGTGTGTGTATAGTGTGTGTGTGTGGTGTGTGTGTTGTGTGTGTGTGAAGTGTGTGTGTGTGTGTGTTGTGTGTGTGTGTGTGTGTAGTGGGTGTGTGTGTGTATGTGTGTAGTGTGTGTTGTGGTGTGTGTGTAGTGTTTGTGTATGTGTATGTGCTGTAGTGATGTATGTGTGGTGGTGTGTGTGTGTGTGTGTGTGTGTGTGTGTGTGTGTGTGTGTGTGTGTGTGTGTGTGTGTGTGTGTGTGTGTGTGTGAAGGGGGTTGGTTGGATTTGCGTGTGTAGTGGGATTTCTGTGCGTGTGATATTTACCTGAAGTGTACAAGAACCTGGCTACGATACGTAACGTTAAGGTGTGAGAAAGATCAGTGTTGACACCTTCCTGCTGGAAGCCACATGAGAGAACCTCACTGTCTTCTGACCCACAACACTCGCCCCTCCCACAGTCTCAGCAGCACACCAACCCAGCTTCACATTACACGGTTTTCTTACGCATCGCAATGCATCAGTTTCTGAACGACCGAAGTCGTTAGTTCATTCTTTTACGTTACTTTAATTTAAATACACGTATATAAAAGCAGAAGAAAAAAAATTATTAAACCCGCATTATTAATAGCCCAAGATAATCCATGAAAGCTCCCATGCCTGGTTAATGCGGGGTTTACAGATTTTGGTTATTGTGTGGTTTACATGTAATAAAATACTAATTACAGAGAGGGTCACTAGAACACCTAGCAAGGCTAGGCATTTCGGGCAAACTTTGATTACTTCTTAACCCTCAATTATTAGGTCCTTTGATCCTCTTCCCCAGGATGCGACCCACAACAGCGTGCTACCACCCAGGTAACTGCTTGCTGCTGAGGTGAGCAAGGGCAACATTTAGGAAAACATGGCCAATGTTATACTTGTGCTGGAATCGAACCAAGCCAAGCTAATGGTGTTACCACTTTACCAACAACAAGCTAAGTACATGAGTGAAGGTAATGTGTGGCAGCGGGGTAAACACCTCAGGTAGTTGCAAACAACACGTTTATTAAGAGTAGTGTGGGAAGGGGGGCGAGTTGCCTACAATCACTTAAAGAGATCAG